GAGAAAGCTGCCATCAACAAGCTGAAAGCCAACCACCTCTTTGGGGTTCGGATTGGTGAGTTTTGACGGACGTCTCTCTTCTTGGCAGAGAGAAGGAGATCTTTTAATCGCCTAGTGAAGGCGGAGACGTGGTCTTCTTCGCCACAAGCCACATCATAAGCATGTCAGCAGAAAGCGAAAAAGCGAAGCAGACTGTTATACCTGGGGGGGGTGTTAAGCAATATTTTTTCCAACACTAGCTCTAAACATGTACAAAAATATCTCGACGCTATCATTATAGAAGCAGAAAGAGTTCTCCCTTTTTAAGTAAAACAGCTCAAAACACAACTGTTGTTATGTCTTTGCCTGCTCTGATAGCAAAAACATGTAGAGTAGAACTCCCTCTCCCCCCATATCTGCTAAGGCCTCCTGCAGATGCTGAAAACTGTGGATGATAGCAAACGCGATTTTAATAGCATACACTAGACATAGCATGATCTCTGTTTCCTTCTGGTGGTCGGTTCTGGTACTGACATCGTGGAAAGATATATACAGTGGTGCCTCGCTTAACGAGCACACCGTTTAACGATGAATCTGCATAGCGATGCGTTTTTGCGATTGCTAATGTGATCGCATTGTGATATTTTAATAGGCAATACATTGCATTGCGATGATCGGTAAGCGTTTCGCTTACCGATCTTCACATTGCAATGTTTTGGGAACAGCTGGTCGGCGGTTCTAAAATGGCCACTGGGTCCACAAAATGGCAGCCGGCAGCGTTTTCGCGCCCTGCCCTCGCTTACCGGGTGGCGAAAATGGCGGCCGGATGGAGGATTCCCCGTATAGTGGTGAGTTTTTCCCAAATAGGAATGCATTAAGCTCCTGCTAGTGGCCAGTTCTGGTAACTTCCTCTTTAGAAATATCTGTTTCCAGAATTTCTCTTTTAATATTTTCAGAAGTGGATAAGTGAATCAGCGGATACTGATCCTGTGGATACAGAGGTCCTGTACTTCAGACTTTTGTGCATTTTAGACTCTATTCACATGCCACTTAATAACACTTCTTTCAAAAAACAAAATCAGATTGTGATTGTTACGTAGCCTGACATCTCATTGGCCACAGAACCGCGCACCCCCATTGATTCTCTGGTGCAGAGTTCTAGTTTCCTAATTTTTTTTGGTCCTGTCCCACAGCAGAAGGAATCCCCCGTCCCTGGCGGCTGGTCTATTATCGAGGGAGGAGACTCTTTGATCCCCAGAATCATAAAGGAAAGTAAGTGAAAGCAACCGGACTCTTTGTTTCCTTAATAGCAGGGTTGGGTTGTGAGGTTATCCTCGCCTAGTCATTATCTATCAGTTAATTAATTTATTCCATACGTTTATATACAGAAGGACTCCCTTATCTGCAGGATCCACTGATTCGCTTATCCACAGTCTGAAAATATTAAAAGAAAAATCTCATATATTTTTAGCAATAAAGTTGCACATATGTAAAATAATAACATTTTGAAAAGTTCCTAGCCTACTTTTTTAAATGAAATGTTTTCAGGTAGCGGATAAGTGAATGTGTGGCTGCTGATGTGGGTGGGTGTCCTACCGTACACTTCTTTAAAAGAAAAAACAGACTCCAACTGGAACCTGGGCTACTGGAGTCCCCCCCCCGAAAATACGTGGAAATCGTCTCCACCTGATCTGCTAGATGGTGAAAGTTGACTTCCGAAGCCCTTCCTAGATTTTTTTTTTAAAGTTAGCATTTTTTGTGGAATTGCTGGGGTAGTGTGTTGCCCACCCATGAAATAAAACTTTTGATCTCATTCCGCTCGTCACTGACTTCCAGGTTGGCTCTTTCTCAGATAGGAAGAGTGTGTCGTCAAGTTGATTCTGATTTAGGGTGACCTTTTTTGAGGTTTCGTAGGTAGACTCGGAGATGTGTTACTCTCTCCTTCCTTGGGACGGTGCCGCTGGCCCAAGGCTACCCGTACTGCGTTTTCTCCCAGGAGGCCCCGTGGGGGGAATCGAACCCCCAATCTTTGGATCAGCAGCCAGAGACCTCGACCGCTTGAGCTCTCCAGCCAGCTTTGTCAGATAGATGGCCCTAATAAGAAGGAGGCGTTAAAAGTTTTGGTTTTTTTAAATATGTAAATTGAAACTGTGGTGCGTTGGGATGAGATGCCGTTAGTCCCCTAAGACCAGCAACTTTTTTCTGTCTAGGTACTCCGAGGAAGAGAAACAGGAGCTCAAGAAATATCAGGCCATGTACGGCAATAACTGGACAAAGATTTCGGAGCTGATGTGCCGAAGCAGCAAATCGGTGGAGCAGAAGTTTTGTGACATTAGAAGTGGTGTGTTGTTGTTCCTGTGCACACACATGCACACCCTTTAGTCTCTCCTAAAAGCTAAGGCTTTGTGTGTTTTGGGCTTTAATTCCTCTTCCTCAAGAGCTGAATTGCGCAAATCGCACCCTTGCGTGATTCATGGCGCAGCCGTTAAATTGCAATACTGCAGTCAAGACTCTGCTGTCAACCTGAGTTCAGTCCCTATGGGCTCAGGTAGATGGCTAGAGATGGATCCAGCCTTCCAATCCTTCCGGTGTCAGTAAACTGAGAACCCAGCTTGTTTGGGGGGGGGGGAACGCATAGAAGCACTTTTTAATTTGTCTAGCCGCATATAAGTTTCCGGCAGGAGAGTTCCTCTTTGTTTACCCTGTGAGACTTTACACTTTTTCCAGACAAGAGATGACTCTTAGAAATGGTGATGTTTAATTTCAATCTTGCAAAACTGATCTTAGTTAGGAAAAAAAGAACCATCGTGTCTCGTTGCTTACGTTCGTACAGATCTGCTGAGTGTGCCGATCATAAATTGCATTGTCCTCTTTTTTTTAAAACCTTTATGCATCTAGATCCGAAGTCCGGTCACTGGAGTGAAGAAGAGACCGAGAAATTAATTCGGGTCGTCGCCAAGGTGCTGAGGCCGAAAGCAAAAAGCGCAGGCTCCACCCAGGACCCAAAGAATGGCAATCGGACGCTCCTGCTTGACCGTGAAATGCTTTACAAGGGCATCCCATGGGTTCACATTGAAGCTGAAATGGGAACCAGAAATTGGAAGCAGTGCAGAAAGAAGTGGTAAGGATGACTTTCGATCCAGGATAAGTAGGGGGGAATAATACAGTAGGACCACCTCATCCGCTGATTCACTTATCCACAATCTGAAAAAATTTTAAAAATAGGAAAATAAAAATATTTTGGGAGGTTTTCTTTTCCTATTTTGATGATCGTGGATAAGTCAATTACCAGATACAGATCCTGCGGAGAAGGTGGTCCTAATGTATTGTTTATGGCACAAGACTTGAACTTTAGACTTCTTTTTTCTTAGTGGAAAAACCACTACTTCTAGTGTGCAAATCCGAATGGGTTTTGAACTACAGCTTCCACACTTTACCTAGGGAGTCCTGGGACTCAGGGGTCATCCAGAAGCACAACCGTACCCAACCCAGACTCATCTTACGCAGGAGCAGGCTAAAAAGACCAGTTCATAGATCTTGGGTGTAAAAAAAAAATCTGTATTCCCAAGAATCAGATTCAGTATCACTCCAGGCAGCCAAGAGAAGAAAGCACCAGAGCTGGACCGGTAATTAAATTTAAATTTTGTTCCAGAAGCACAACCGTACCCAACCCAGACCTGTCACCGCTCATCTTACGCAGGAACAGGCTAAAACAGGTCATAGATCTTGGGTGTAAAAAAAAAAATCTGTATTCCCAAAAATCAGATTCAGTATCACTCCAGGCAGGCAAGAGAAGAAAGCACCAGAGCTGGGCCGGTAATTAAATTTAAATTTTGTGTTTTGTGTCTCTTTTTTTAAAAAAAAAAAGGTCTTCGATCGTAACCAAGAAGCTAGCCGGAGGGCAGACGGCGCGAACGCAATCGGAAAGCACCCGGTTCAGGATTAAACTCATCAGAAGGTAGTAGCACGTTTCCCCGCCTTCTTAAACTTGTACGAACTGCTCGAATCGTGACGTACTTTAGCACAATAAGTTGCAATGAGGGCCGGCCCATTCAGATCAACAAGAACAGATAGAGGGGCTGACTCACCACCGAACTGCTCGAATCGTGACGTACTTTAGCACAATAAGTTGCAATGAGGGCCGGCCCATTCAGATCAACAAGAACAGACAGAGGGGCTGACTCACCACATCCCCATCAATTCAGTGGGGCTACTCTAGTGCCATTTATGCCGCTAAGTCACAGGATTTGTGCTTCTTCCATTTTCATTCATTCGGTGGGCCTACTCTAGTTGCAGCTTACGGTGCTAAGCAGTTCCCCCCATTGATTCAGTGGGACTACTCTAGTGCCATTTATGCTGCTAAGTCGCAGGATTTGTGCTTCTTCCACAGGGACGAGCCGTTCCTCAGCTGTTCTTAATGGACTGTTGAATTTTCATTCATTCAGTGGGCCTCCTCTAGTTTCAGCTTACGGTGCTAAGCAGTTCAGGGGTTCGGCCAATGAACGACACCCCAAACCCTTTTGTATTTCAGGCTGAATAAACTGGACGTCGAGGAGGAGTCCGAAATCAACTGGGAAGACATCTCGAGCGCCATGGGGTAATATACGTATATTTTATTTTAATGTTTTCAAATATTATTTCCAGTATCTGCGGATCGTGATCCCATGGATAAGGGAATCCTACTGTATTTATTTTTATGTGGTCGCTTTCTACAACAAGTTCTGCCCACAGCAGTGGTGGTTCTCAACCTGGGGGTCCCCAGATGTTCTGGGACTAAAACTCCCAGAAGCCTTTGCCGCCACCTGTGCTGGCCAAGATTTCTGGGAGTTGTAGTCCACAAACATCTGGGGATCTCAGGCTGTTGCTTGATGAAACACGGCGTGTAAAAATTGTCGCATTTTTGCAAAACATGGGACAGGCTGGAAACCCAGGTGGGTTTGTGGACGGATTTGCTTGGGACTTTTAAAAGGTGGTGACTTTGGGCCTTTCCAGATGGTCCCAGTTTGCCCGCAACTTGGAAATACTGGGAGAAAAGGGCTGCAGAGTCATTTATGACTTCAGGGGAGGGAGCGACAGAAGACCTTGGACCTGCTTCGCCAGGTCTATCTCCTAGGACTGTTGTGAAATGAAGAAACGAGGAGATAGCCCTTCAACTTACACAGCAATTCTTTTTCTTTTTCTTCCTCCAGAAATCTCCCTCCAAACTATCTGCAAAGCAGGTATTACAAAATGAAAACATCCTATGTTCCTTTCTGGAACCGAAAACCATTTTCTGGTGAGTCAGAGGGATTTTAGAGGGTGAGGAAGATCTGGAATTCCCGTCTTTGCTGCCTCTGAGCAGCGGGCGAAGACCTTTCTCTTCAGGCAGGCTTTTCCTTCAGTCAGTGAGGGCCTAAGAGACAATAAGCAGGATAGTTTATACTCTGTTTAATGTTATTCATTAAAATCTGCCCAAAAATATATTCCTAAAGGTAAAGTTAGCAGAACTGGCCAGTGGAGGGAGCCAGAGAGCATGCTATGCATTCACTGGAGAAAATACATTTCTATAGTGTCATTACCAGAACTGGCCATTGGAGGGAGCTAGAGAGCACCTACGTATAGCGTTTGCAGTAATCTACATTTTTTCAGAAACGAGGGGTACCTGGAACCATCACCCCCATGGATATGGGGAGTCCGACTGATTTGAGGAATTTACTGTTTTTAATATTGTGTTTTTAATGTTGTAAGCTGCCTTGGGGGTCCTTTCTTAGGAGAAAGACGAAGCAAACAACATTTGAAATAAATAAATCGGGCCGATCTGTTTCGGAAGAGGGCAGGGGGGTGCTTTGTTTAAATCCCACAAGAAGGACCCAAATCCGTGTTCCGGGGTGGTCCTCTTGCTTCTCGCCAGCTTATCCGGTTCTCTCCCGACACCCAAACTCACTACGAATTTGCTTTCGTTTCCTGCTCAAGAAATCATCTATTACCTCTACAAGAAGAAGCTTCCGCAACTCAAGAGGCGAGTCAAAGAAAGGGCCGCTGTGAAAACGGCTGTGTCGGCAGCCGCCAAGGATAATCTGGGGAAAGACGCCTTTCTGTTCAGTTACTTCTTTCCGGACGACGGCCAGGACTGTCCCACGGATGACGAGGAGGAGACAGGAAAAGCCGGTCCAGACGAACAAGAGTTCTCCCACCCATCGTAACGATTGAGAGAAAGAAGTGAAACGGAGCTCTCAATTTTTCAAAACGGTGATTTCGTCTCGGACTGAGGCCCCTTTCAGATGTTCGGCCGTACGATCGGCTGTGGGGTTGCAGCTCCTTCGTGCTCGGCTGCCCTGGCTAGGGAGAATGGTCGCTGTTATCCAGCCGGATCCAGAGGACTGGGAAAGAGAGCTGGCCCTCTCTTTTCCATTGAGTGGCCTTTTTTTAAAAGGCCACCGTGCTTTCTGAGTTCTGGAGACCTCCGTTTATCTTGACTTAATTGGTTGGGTCCCGAGATGTTCGTGCCCGAAAACTCCCAGAAGGCCCCTTAATTTCTGTAGGTCTGCTCGAATACATCGTCATCAAAACCCAGGTGTTTCTGCTCCATCGGCCACAAGCGTTTTAGTCCACACGAATAAAGGGAAAAAGAATGACCTCCATGGGGTTGATCTTTATTTAAAGAAACAAACCACTGAAGAGAATTGAAAAAAAGGTTTTATAAAAGTAAATATATATGCAAAGTCTTGTTTGTCTATTTTTGATTAAAGTCTTTTTCTATTAAAAAAAAGGTGCCTCTTGTTTTATCCGTGTTCTTCCTACATGCTCCTGAGTAGGCAATAAGTTTGGAGATTTACATGATCAACAAAGCTTTGGCCATCTCGGTGTTGCTTTTAGCAGGGGTAAGGGGTGCCCCTTCAGTTTAGGTTGGATTGTAATGCTCAGCTCACTGGTTTGCCTTGCTAGGGGTCTCGAGTACAAATCCTGCCAGGCGAACCTCGTCTCATTTTTTTGATCAGGTAACCTCCCCGGTAGACGGTGGGAATGCTGTGGATGTAATATATCTTGACTTCATCAAAGGCTTTGAGAATGTGACCGGCGAGCTAACTAAGTGTGCACTGGATACAACAGGTGTCTGGCAGATCCCCAGTTGGTCACAGAACATGTAATAATAAGCTCAAGCTGCAGGAAACCAGATCTGGTTGAATATCAGGAAAAAAAATCCTTAACTGTTAGAGCAGTATGACCATGGAGCCTATGTCTCAGGAGGGGGTGAGCGCTCCAGCGCTGGAGGCCTTCAGGAGAAAATTAGGCTGACTTCTGTCCGATCTGCTTTGGTCTGGATTCCTGCTTTGAGGAGGGGGCTGGACTAGATGGCCTCAGAAGCCCCTTCCAACTCCCATGATTCCAAATGATATTTTTTTATGCCCCATGGAAATGAGAATGAACTTGCCAGGTCCAAGGAGTAAAAGTCAAGCCATAAATATCATTTGCCCTTTTTTCCCCCATTACCTGTCGGAGTCTGTCTCCCGAAGGTCCTCTGCCCCAACCCTCCCGATCCCCCCCCCCCAAGGCTGGGCTCCCCCATGGAGCCACCCCGGGATAGACTCAGAAGCCATGGGCTTGAATTTTGCAAAGGGGATTTAAAAAAACCCCAGCCTGTTTTTTCCATGCCCCCCCCCTCCAGCAAACAAGAGAGAAATAACATCTATTTCCACCCTTGCAGGGACTCTGCTTGGAGAGGCAGGTCGTTGGGCAACCGCAGTTGCTGCATCAACCCGCGTGGCCCAACCTCTTTGGTTAGCGTCCCCCGTCGCCATGGGAACGGTCCCTACCATTCCGTGGCTGGAGGGGAGGGGGGAAAGAAGCTCTTCTTTGAGCAAAAAATAAAAAAGGGGGGGGAATTGATCCAGAAGGGCTTGATCCAGAAGGGGGGGCTCCCCCAGAGGAGCTCTCCTCCCCCCCCTCAAGGCTTT